AAAAAGAGTGAGGCTTATATAGCATTGAGTAGAGTAGAGTAAACAAGGTAAAAAGGTTTGCAAATAAAACAAAGAAAACAATCAGTCAATCAATTAGGCAAAAATCATGGGATTATATCCAAAAATAAGTCGGAATTGAGGTCTAAATAAGATAAGTGGTAAGTCTGATAGCCAATTAAAGTTAGAATACTGAAATCCGGCAAGTAACATGGCAATTAGTCACAAATAAGGTAACACAAGTAAATAGAGACCAATTTAGGGGTTGGTAAGGCAGTCAGCCCATAGATTAAGCTTAGCAGGAACAATTAAGACAAGTAGTACCAATTAGGAGCCCCAAATATAAGGGAAGTAAATAAAATTACAGGAAGTAATCACCTCCGTAAACAAAGCGAATTTCAAACCCTAAACAATTTAGGTAATCAATCAATTACTCAAGAATCACGGGCAAATATTGAGGCGAGTAATGAAATAATCAATCAAACTAAAAACTGGAACTCAGTCATGAAAGAATCAGTAGAAAAAGATAATCAAACACATAGGAATTTTTAGAAAAGTTTCGCAGAAACAAACGAAGTGAAACCCAAGTTCTTTAGAGAACATTAGGATCGATTAACAGTAAGGAAAATAGAAGATCTTTGAAGAAAAATGCTATAGGAACTCGAAATCTTATTTGATCCAAAGAGATTTGAACAGCAAATAACAAAGAAGCAAAACCCTAATCTAGAGGGATACTAAAATCGATTAACAATAAAGAGAACAATGTTATAAAATAAAGACTGTAAAGTAAAGACAAGTATAGAGAGAAACTGATATATTATTCGAATTCCAAACTGATGTACATAATGAAATGAAAACTCTTCTATTTATAGAAGGAAGGAAGCTGCTACTGCAAGCTGCTGTGTAAGTTGCTACTGTAAGCTGCTGTGTAAGCTGCTACTACAACCTGCTGTGTAAGCTACTATAAGCTGCTGTGTAAGCTGCTATTACAAGCTGCTGTGTAAGCTACTACAAGCTGGTGTGTAAGCTGCTACTATACCAGATATGGATAATCTTATACTAAGAGTAATGTTTATCCATAACGGAGTACTGAAAGGATAAGCTCATTATACCCGGTATGGATAATCTTCTACCGGGGGTAGTGTTTATCCATAACGGAGTATCGAAAGGATAAGCTTATTATACCAGAGATGGATAATCTTCTACCGGGGTAATGTTTATCCACAACGGAGTACTGAAAGGATAAGCTCTTTGTACCCGGTATGGATAATCTTCTACTGGGGGTAATGTTTATCCATAACAGAGTATCGAAAGGATAAGCTTATTATACCCAGTATGAATAATCTTCTACCGGGGGTAATATTTATCCATAACCGGGTACCGAAGTGATAAGCTTCTTCAGGAGGCTTATTTTCAATAGAGTACTAAATAGATAAACATATTTACGGCGGAGTCCCATATGGATAAGCTTCTTCAGGAAGCTTATTTACAACGGAGTACTAAATGAACATTCATAATATAATATATTTATAACACTCCCCCTTGGATGTTCATAGTGTGCCTCATTAAAACCTTACTAGGAAAAACCCCATGGGAAAAAATTCTAGTGAAGGAAAAAGAGTGCACATATATAGTAATACGCATTGCTAGGTGCCTCATTAAAAACCTTATAAGGAAAACCCTGTGGGAAAAAACCTTAGTAAGGAAAAAAGAGTGCATCGCGTATTTTACTCCCCCTGATGAAAACCTTATTTCAAATATTTGAGTCTCTGCATTCTAATCTTGTATCTGCATAACCAATATGATCTGCACCACCTTTGTTAGCATTAGCAAGATACATAAGTGCATAGCAATTGCACTGAGATAGAGTATTTCAGGACCAAGGAGTTCCTCATCCTCTTCTGGAGGTCGGAACGGATCCTTATTCACTTCAAGTGATCGAACACCCATTGGTACTTAATGGGTGTACTTTGTCCATGTAAAAACGTTTAAAGACCCTTTCTGTATAGGCAAATTGATGGATAAAGATCTCGTCTGCTAAATATTTAATTTGCAGACCAAGATAAATTTTTATTTTTCCAAGATCTTTCATCTCAAATTCTTTCTTAAGATATTCAATTGCCTTTGGAGATCTTCTGGAGTTCCAACAAGATTTATGTCATCAACGTAAACAGCAAGTGTAACAAATTCTGATGACATTTTCTTTATAAAAATACATGGACAAATAACATCATTTATGTAACTTTCTTTCAGCAAATATTCACCGAGGCGATTATATCACATGCGCCCAAATTGATTTAAATCGTACAATCGAGACATTGAACTGAGGCATTTTAAGTCCTTCAGGGATCTTTATATAGATTTAACCAAGTGAGTCATATAGGTTATGACTCGCATTTAAATGGCATGACATCTTCAGGTGTCTGGACTACTAGTCCGATCCTCACAATATTTCACAGTATTGTGCACTATATTGTATCAAATATATCGTCGACGATCATTTTATATCGGTTCCTAAGCAACATAACTTGTTGAGATCTCATCACTTTCGTTATATTCAGGTACCTCAACTTCTTCTGGAGTTTCATGAAATGTTATGTCGTGGGCTATTCTAGAGCTCATTTCCTCCTCATTATGATCATTAGCTCCTTATCATTTTTCAGGGATTGTTTCCTTTGGAACCGATTGGTCTACCATGCTTCATGCGTACAGTAAACTCCATCCTTCAGGGACTTTAAATTCTAATAGGAGCATTTACAGCTGAAATATGATATTTGATTTTGGATCAGCAAATGCTTCTGGCATTTGACTTGAATTATCTTCTAAGTGAGGATCATATTAATGATAATTCGATTCATATAGCATATTTTTCAGCTGTTTATTCCATTCCCCAAATGTTAGAAAAACTAACATATATCCCCAATCTTCTTTGGGAAACATATCTTTGTGCATTGTGGTAGAGAAATTAATCATATACCACACATCAAAAGATAGTAAAATATTTGGTTTCTGATCCTAAACCAATTGTGAGGGGAGGACTTATCATATATTGTTGGTCTGATGCATACAAGTGCTGCTATATGCAATTTAGAAAATCTTAGACCAACACATGAAGCTTTGTTCTCATAAACAATAGTTTAGCCATTAATAGGAGGTATTCACTACTAAACTAGCTTGTATATAAACCAGCATTATGAAGATGAACTGTCTTGATTTCATAATCTGAAAACTATGCTCTTAAGTGAGAAAAGCAATTTCAAATGCCAAACTGCAGGTTGACAATAAACATACATGTAACCATCTTATATATGCATCTATAAGTGGTTCACATGATAGGTGAATGGGCCCATATTCACCTTTTATATATTTCAGAATTAGGGGTCTTAGTCCCAACTTTAGCTGGTATAATCAATTTATTACGAGAACAAGCAACATAGGAGAATTCTTGAAGAATCTTCTAGTTCTTCAGTATATGCTTATCTAAATTCTCAAATAGCTCATTTAAAAATGACAAATGACAAATGAAAACTTCAAGTTTATCATGGCATGTGCTATCTCTTAGTAAACTTCTGGTTTACTATGACATAAACTTTTGCATTAGTAAACTTCTGATTTACTGTGGCTACTTTTGTATTAGTAAACTTCTGATTTACCGTGATACATGATGTAGTACAAATCGAAGAATAAGGCCGGTAACTTCTCATATTATTTTACCCCCTATGATTGTGGAAACATGAAGATTTTCAATCTTCCAATAATTTATAGTCTCAATATGATAGCCATTTATTTAAGTAAACTTCGGGTTTACTACAACATATGTTTTGACCATAATCATATATATGAATGACATATTTGTAAATAAGCTCTTCGAGAGCTTTCATTTATTATCCACAATCTAATATTTATCGGACACTACTGGTGTCATGTGTCTTCTAGGCAAACAATTAACTCTTCAGGAGTTGTTGATACATTTTGTACTATCAAATATTGCTCAGACACTTCTGGTATCATAAGAGAAAATCACAATCAAATAAATAATTGTTTAAGCACAAGAAAACTCCTCTTCATAATATTTTCCTACTTCAGGAGGCAATTTCAATTGTATTACTTCTTCAGGAGCAAATTTAAAATATGAGATATTGAGTATATATTCTCTCAATTATATATTACCTCTTCTGGAGGTGAATTGTAATATATATACATCAAGAGCGCGATCATATTTACCAGATTTATTAATATTGTCACATTCACTTCAGGGAATGGATTATTATTATCAAAAGTTCTCATCCTTCATGAAAATCGAACATAATTATCTGAATGCGCATTAATCACATCAAATTGTGATGCCTCAACCTCTTTTAAAATATTTACTACTTCAGGAGCAAATCGAGGCGTGCATTTAACATAGAGAATATTTATGTAGCTTATCTTCAATTGTAACCATATAAAGCCTAAATTATCACTTCTGGTGATCATAGGCATATACCACTTCTGGTGGTTAGCAAAATATAATTACAATGAGATATACGAAATATAACCTGGTTGTATATTTCTTGCAAACTCTGCTAGAGTTTAAGTTGATCTAATAATGTTATCCATATTCTTCAAAATGACATAAATAAGATATATTATAGTAAACATCATTATCAAATCATAATTTTTCTTTATGTACAACAATTAGATAACCATACTATCTATTACAAACAACAAAATTAAAATATTTACATTTCTACAGATTCACCACCGATTACATGACTTGTTTCTCCTTCTGGGAGTGCAAAGTAATCAGCTACATCCAAATGCATGAAGTCTAAATTATCTTTAGAAATAAAATTTGCTTCAGCATTTTTCTCTGTCTTCTTCAGGAAGGCTTGATAAAGCTCAATCGGGTGCTTTGGCGTACGACAGGTACGTGACCAGTGCCCTTTTCCTCCACATCTATAGCATGCACTTTCTGCATTTGGTGCTTGCACCGCTTCATGCTTTTGTTCCTTCCTTTTCCACTACTGGTGGCGAGGAGGGTTCTTTGGTGCATTATTATTATCATGATTAGAGTTTCTTCCCCGACCACGGCCATGACCACGACTGGGGCCACGACCTCTTCCACGTCTAGCTTGGTGGAAGTTCGTCTCATTCACTTCAGGGAATGGACAAGAACCAATAGGTCGGCTTTCATGGTTTTTCATTAGTAGCCCATTATGTTGCTCGGCTACAAGAAGATGTGAGATAAGTTCAGAATACTTTTTAAATCCCATCTCTCGATATTGCTGCTGCAGGAGTATATTTGAGTCATGAAAAGTGGTGAAAGTTTTCTCAAACATATCATGATCAGTAATATTATCACCACATAATTTCAATTGGGAAATAATTCTGAACATAGCAGAATTATACTCACTGATAGATTTAAAATCTTGTAGCCTTAGATGAGTCCAATCATAACGTGCCTGTGGAAGAACGACCATCTTCAGGTGGTCATATCTATCATTCAAATTATTCCACAGTATGACTGGATATTTAACAGTAAGATATTCCATTTTCAGGCCCTCATCAAGGTGATGGCGTAGGAATATCATTGCTTTGGCACGGTCTTGGTTTGATGCCTGATTTTTATCCTTGATGGTGTCCGCCAGACCCATCGCATCAAGATGAATTTCAGCATCAAGCACCCAAGACATGTAGCTTTTGCCCGATATATCCAGGGCTACAAATTCAAGTTTTGCAAGATTTGACATTATATAGAAAAAGAAAGTTCGTACCTCAGATACTTTCAAAGTATTTGCTCGAGATTGCAGAGTCTCGTGCTGATAACGTGTTATAAAATAAAGACTATAAAGTAAAGACAAGTATAGAGAGAAACTGATATATTATTCGAATTCCAAACTGATGTACATAATGAACTGAAAACTCTTCTATTTATAGAAGGAAGGAAGCTGCTACTGCAAGCTGCTGTGTAAGTTGCTACTGCAAGCTGCTACTACAACCTGCTGTGTAAGCTACTATAAGCTGCTGTGTAAGCTGCTATTACAAGCTGCTGTGTAAGCTACTACAAGCTGGTGTGTAAGCTGCTACTATACCAGATATGGATAATCTTATACTAAGAGTAATGTTTATCCATAACGGAGTACTGAAAGGATAAGCTCATTATACCCGATATGGATAATCTTCTACCCGGGGTAGTGTTTATCCATAACGGAGTATCGAAAGGATAAGCTTATTATACCAGAGATGGATAATCTTCTACCGGGGTAATGTTTATCCACAACGAAGTACTGAAAGGATAAGCTCATTGTACCCGGTATGGATAATCTTCTACTGGGGGTAATGTTTATCCATAACGGAGTATCGAAGGGATAAACTTATTATACCCGATATGGATAATCTTCTACCGGGGGTAATATTTATCCATAACCGGGTACCGAAGTGATAAGCTTCTTCAGGAGGCTTATTTCCAATAGAGTACTAAATAGATAAACATATTTACGGCGGAGTCCCATATGGATAAGCTTCTTCAGGAAGCTTATTTACAACGGAGTACTAAATGAACATTCATAATATAATATATTTATAACAAACAAGAGATTTTAAACGAAAACTACTGATAAACTCAAAATCACTCCAGATCTACAAAAATTTGAAAAAATTCACGTTGAAAAGATGAAGGTTTTTGAGAAAAGGGCGGGGTAAAGGAAAAATCTAACTGCAGCCATAAAACCAACGAGACTCACAAACGTTGATGAACACAAGGCGGTGTTCATAAGGAAACGAAAAGCCTAGGTCGACTATGAGTCGAACCTCTTCGAAGTCACCTCAGAAAACTACGAGAATCGAACATTTAGGAGAAGTAATAGGTTAGATAGGATAGCAAAACCCAAAATAACCCCATATTAGGTCAGGGATCGAAGGGATTTGGGAGGTTTAGGGGTGACGGCGCATCTAGGATTTAGGTGGTATCATAGAGAAGAGAGAAGATGAGGGATTCAAGGGCGGCGGGGTGTAACAAATGACTAGGGTTAGGGGTTCGTTTGGGATAAAAAGGAAAGGGTGATCGTGGACCGTTGATCTCAGAAATTAACGGCCACGATTAACAGGGATTTGGGTCGGATAGAGGTCGTTTGGTTTTGGGCTGGGGTGATTTGGGCTTAGGTTAATTTAAATTGGGCTGGGAGGGTCCGATTTTGGATACAATTAAGGGGCTATTTGTTAAATACCCAATTTATTAATAAAATAATTTTAAAAATAGCTAATTTAGATGATAAAAAATGATTTTTATGCATGAAGGTGATTTAAAATAATTACTTAATATTATAAAAATATAAAAAATTATTTTCTGTATAGGTAACGTAATTGTGCATATGGATGGGCTATTATTGCAAAATGCAATTATAGTCTTAAAATGCAATTGTAATTGTAGAAAATGCAATTAAAAATATTTGAACACTCATATGAGTATAAACGATGAATTTAGATGACTAAATTATTGTAAAGTAATATGAGGGATAATTATTGAGTATTTATATAATTAAAAATCCAGAAATAAATGATTTAAGGCCTTTAAAAATTGTAGAAAAAATTGTAAAAATACTTGTGCATGTTTGTAAATGCATGTACAATATTTTGAAAGTATGTATGCACGCTTAAAAAATATATGAGGGAAAAATTGGGTATCAACAGATGGCGTGACAACCTTATTAAGGGTTTTAGTCCGTTTTTTTATGTTTTTATGTAATTAGTAGTAATGAATAAAAGTGACTCAGGCAAAGCTTCACTTGGGCCTAGCACATTTACCTTTGACCTTATGGTTAGAAACAAATTGATTTGCAAAGAATGGTGCTAGTTGCGACCTTTAGACTGTTGTGTTGACTAAACAATCATCGAATGGCTTCTTGGAGCCATTTGTGTTGCTCAATCTTAGTTAGGGTTGTCGTGGGCCCTTGACTCTGTCTCTTTAGCAATCCAACAGCTTGTGAGGTGAGGTATTGATTTGCAAGTCCAAGTCCCGTGCCAATAAGTCTAGAACTTGCCCTGAATGTGTGTCTAGGCAAAATTCTAAGTGTAGCTCGACTTGAGAAATGATTATAGGCTCTCCTCGATCCAAATTGAAACTTGAAAACATCCATAGCCCACCAAATATGATATCCCTAGTCAACCCCATTGAGCCGAAGCCCTTTCAATCACCACGATACAAGCCTTTATCCGTTCTAAAATAACCCTCTCTTGGCACCCAATCTTTCCTTAGCATAATTGGCAAAAGCATAAGTTTGGGGGGAGACGAGGAATGCAAAAGTGATAAAAGGTACAAAATAAAGAAAAGGGAAGGTAAAGGAAAAACAAAGAAAAGCCAAAAAAAAGGGGGGGGGGGGGGGGTTCAAAAAAGAAAGTGAATAATATGGATAAAATGAAAGGATTCAATAAAAAGCAATGATGAAAGGATCGGAATGATTAGAAAGGAGAAAAAGGATTGACATGAACAAGAAAGAATGACATGCGTCTCTCTAGTCCCCTAAGGAAGAAGAAAATGACTCAAAGAATCAAGAAAGTGTGAGCCGAAATGAGAAAATGAAGTGCTTAAGGAAAGATGAAACCTTCATAGACTGATATATCCTATTTTCAACCAAAAGCCTTCATTACATTCCCACAAAAGCCCTATATGATTTCGAGTTGAGTGAGCTTACATTAGTGGTGATTCACATAAGGGGCAAGCTTATGGTACTTAGAGCCGGACTTATGACCTTCCTTTGAGAGAGATGAGCGTTCTTTTCCACAATCCTTGTTCTGAGTGCTACAATCTAAAGTGAGGTTTGCTTATGGAGAGTAGATGAGTAGGAGTTTGGGTTCCACAATGACCTATGTAGTAGAAAGAGTTTCCTTGATGAGTTAAGTCAACTTTTGATGCTTTTGTGTCGCACTAGGGCTATCGCACTAAAAAGGTTGTGTGTTGTTAATAATGCATTTGAGTTGAGGGTAATTGTTAGTCCCAATTGTGCTTGATGAAGTCACCTTAAGACAGCTGAAATTTTCCTTTCTTTTATCTTGAGGAGGTGAGAATTACTTTGTTTGCTTGAGGACAAGCAAAAGCCTAAGTTTGGGGGAGTTGATAACTATGGATTTTAGCCTATCTTATGCTCTCTTTTGCTTGAGTTTTGGATCAAAAATGTGTAAAAGTATTTCCGAAAACTGACTTATTGTGCTTGTGTGCAGGGTTTGGTCAAAATGAGGTAAGAAAGCCAAAATCAACTCATGAAGGAGTTAAAAGTGCACAAGTTCAAAGTTGAGATAAAAGCGCTGACCGCGAAGGAAAAGAGCGACCGTGGAAGATCCAACGCTACAACGGCCACAATTACGCGGTCCGCGGAATAGAGGTTCAGAGAAGGTATTTTGGGTGCAACAGAGACCGCTGGGCGCGATGAAAAAGTGCGGCCGCGGAATACCTGACGCGGCCACGGTGGTAATTCCGCTGAGAGCGGCGAATCAAGGTTCAGAGACCCTGCAAAGTGAGCCTATCTGAGAAGCGCGGTCCGCGTCCAAATTGCGCGGCCGCGGTTGAGGCCAACGTTTAGGCGGTATCTTTTATGCTGTCCGCGAAATCAAGTTCAGAACCAAGCACAAAAGTGAAGAAACGCGGTCCACGCTCGTTTTGTGCGGTCGCGGAAGTCCTTACGCTGAGGCGCTTATTATTTCGCTGACAGCAAAACCTTTGTAGCGGTATTTTTGTCCAGAAATTTCAGCTGTGTATAAATAGTTCTTTTTTACATTTTTAGGTCATCTTTTGTTTTGAAGAGCTCGTGAACAGCCGTATTTTACTACTTAGAGTAACTCTAGAGTAGATTTAGCTATTAATCTTAGATTTTATTCTTGTAATTAACTTTTATGGCTTATATTTCATCTCCATCTTTGATTTCTACCTTGATTATGAGTAGCTAAACCAATTAGCTAGGATTGTGACCCAACCCTAATGTAGGTATTTATGGGTCTTCAATTTTAGGGCTTAATTGTTTACGGGTTAATGATATTTAGCTTGATTCATGCTTTAATTGTTGAATTGGTGGTTGTAAACACTAATTCGTGCCTTTATGACTTAGACTCTTCTTGAGAAAGAGAGACTAAGTCTAGGAAATTCAAGCTAACAAGGAATTAGGGTGTATTCAAGAGATTGATAGCCCCAATTAAAGGGTTAAACCTAGAGATAGTAATACCCGACTTGAGCCAACTTTGCTTGCATTGTTTGAACACCCAATTGGGCTTGAGAAAGTCAATTAGCGCAAAGTCACTCAAACTACCGAGATGTATAGAGTGAGTAATTATGTGCAAAGGTTATATCATGATCCCAAATATAACAAGTTTGTCCTAAATTCTAGACCCCATTAGATACTCGCCTATGTGTAAGTCACTTCCCTAGTGCTATTGAGAAAAAACCCTACAAAAACATTGTACTTAGATTACTTTCAGCAATTAATAGTATTAAAAGCAGAATAGAAACAAATCCAAACATGTTTAGAAGTGCAATTAAGAGCAACACGCATAGCTAGATTGGATAGAAACCCAACTCCCAACCAGTATTAGCTCCTAGTGGATATCGATCCCGACCTTTAGGGTAAAAGCTGCATCGATCACTTTTTGCCGTTTTATAGTGATATAGGGTTGGAGCCGATCAATGCACAACCATATTCCTGCCAGAAGGGATTAGTGACTATTGTCCATTGAGCATAAAACTGTCGCATGTGATGAACACCAG